AGGCTAGCATTTCTTTTTATGGGTGGGCCTGGTTACTACACTAGCTACTTTATATACATTAATTTAATTTGGTCCTCAAAATCAAACTGAGAAAGTTGAATGATTATTGGCTCCGTTTTACAGATGGAGAAGTTGAACCCTAGAGAATGTTAAATAATTTCCAAATAAAAAGTCCCTGTTTGATTCATCTGGAGCCACAAACCTTGACCTCAAGGTGATCAATTACTAATGTAGCGAGCAGCCATTTTATACAGCTCTATTCACAATAGACACATATACTTTTCACATTTCTTATATATAGAATATAAAAATATTTGCTTCTTTTAGATATGTTTCATTTAATTATGTTACAAATGAATACATGTACTTTTGCTTTTTTAGAGTTCCTCTGCCTTGGCTAAGGAATATGATAAAAGATGTTGCCCAAACCTTAAAATTTATGTATGGTTCTTTAGATAGGTGAGTACTTCTTTGAATTGAATCTTAACTGTTAAGTATATGGTTTTAAATCACCTTTTGCATTTAATACTGTTTTATGCCTTGTTTGGTGGCATGAGCAGTGGCAGTGATAGCAGCTTCTTCTTGTCTCTTATTATTTTCTCATCTTTCATTATTGGCTTTTATTTTACAACTCTAGGCAGTTTTTCATTCAATCTATTTCTTTTTTTTCTCCTATATTACTTTAGTGAAATTTCTTTGTGAAATCGATATAACTACGACTATATTCTGATTTGATATATTTCCGTAGAGACAAATGTAAGAGTATTTCTTCACAACAGATACAGAAAAGAATAGGATTCAAAATAAGTTTTTGTGGACTTTTGCTTATGAGACCATTGTCAAGTTCATTATCCTAAAATATGCTTCTTTCTCAAAAAAATTTTTTAATAAAAAATATATGCGCTATTGTGAAAAACAGTAGAGAAGGTATTGACTAGTTTCATTTCTGTCTCTCCATGTATTTGGTATACAATATGAATATATACTTTTTTATATAAGTAGGTTCATATTATGCATCTTTTTCTGCTTTTTTAATCTTACAGTATAATATAATTGATCTTTCTTGATCTAAAGGAAGAAATTTGAGGTAACTATTCAACATTTGTGCACACAAAATTATGGATGGAAAAGTATATCATTGTAAGTGGAATTTCTGAAAGTTCTAGTGCTTCTGAGGGCTAAAATGATATCTTTGCTTACAAAGCTTTAAGACTACGTTAATCATTATATATTCATCCAATAAAGGGCTCTTATCCGGAATCTACAAAGAACTCCAGCAAATCAACAATAAAAAAAACTCATTAAAAGTGGACAAAAGACATGAACAGAAATCAAAAGAAGACAGACTAATAGCCAACACACATACAAAAGAAAGTTCAACCTCTCCAATCATTAGGGAAATGCAAATCCAAACCACAATGAGATATCACCTAACTCCAGTGAGAATGGCTTTTATCAAAAAGTCCCAAAATAACAAATATTGATGTGGGCGCTGAGAGATAGGAACATTCATACATTGTTAGTGGGTGTCAAACTAGTACAGCCTCTATGGAAGTGAGCATGGAGATACCTCAAAGAACTTAAAGTAGACCTACCATTTGATCTAGCAATCCCACTACTGGGTACCAAAGGAAAAAAAGACATTTTATAGAAAAGACACCTGAAAGCACCATTCTCAATTGCAAAGATGTGCAAACAATCCCAAGTACCTATCAATACCTGAGTAGATTAATAAAATGTGATGTGTGTATACCATAAAATACTACTCAGCCATAAAGAAGATGATGAACTAATACCTTCAGTAACAACCAGGATGGAATTGAAGACCATTGTTCTACGTAAAGTGTTACAAGAATGGAAAAACAAACACCACATGTATTCACTATTAAATTGGAATTAATTGATCAATACTTACATATGGAAATAAAAATTCCATATGTAATGGAAGTCATCAAAAATTAAGTATGTGGGGGGAATGGGTAAATTCACACCCAACAGGTACCATGCATGCTATGTGGATGATGGGCACACTTACAACTTTGACTCAAACAGTACAAAAGCAATTTAAGTAACTAAAATATTTGTACCCCTGTAATATTCCAAAACAAAGTTTTAAAAAGAGAAACATAACTTAAAGACTATATTAATATAAAAATTCAAAGACAGTTTGTACTTTTTAGCAAACCATAGTGTTATCAATTCTCTGTTTATCTGCAGTGGACCTTTGTTGTCATTGTTCTCAGTGCATCTTAAAGGAATTTTCTATAATTTTATCATCCAGGGAAAGTATCTGGTTTGCGTTGTTCTCCTCTACAGGAGCTTTTGAGTGTGTACATCCATCTCAAACCCAATGATTTATCAGTATTTTCCAAATGAGGATCTACAAAGGACTGGGAATCTGAAAATAGTGCTTTTACCTTCTGCTAATAAGAAAATTAATAGCCAATGAAGAGTAAGGATATGGTTATAAACTACTTCCTTAAATTTATAATAGAGAAGCCAACTTTGCTATATTTTGCTCTAACTGAAGCTATTTCCATAAAAATCAGAGATTTAAGTTTCTGACATGTTTTTCATCTTGAAATTTAGCTTCCATTAATTTGGAAGTATCTTCAAGATGGCAGCAAATTTAACTTTCTACTTATTCAAATGAAAATTTGAAGAGTAAACTAAGATAGTAAGTGTGAAGATCTGTTGAGCTCCTAAAACCAAGAAGCAGTGTCGATTCAAGTGTTATTAATAGTCATTTTATGATAATTTTTATAACAAAGGTTTTCTGATTATGAAGATATAAAGAATGCATTGTAAAAAAAAAAAAAAACATGAAAAGACCAAAAACTCCAAAGACTTAATTATCTTTTTGAAGTTTTGAGCTGGTTAGTTCTCTGTGAGCCACAAAAAATTGATTACCTCTTAACAGATTAATGTTGTGATTAATTATTTAACACTGTCCTTCAACAGCTCATCAGCAATTTCAATTAGTCTGTTTCTAAAACATTTCCAACCCATGGATTTTTACCTTTCTGACCTCAGTTCTCAAACCACACCTATCCCTCTGCACTATACTGCACACTGGCAATACTTCTCCTCATACCTGGGGCACTTCTTCCTCTTACTGCATCCTCATGACATTGGAATATCAGCTCAAGTCTCTTTCTCAGAGATTATTTTCCAACCACTTAATCTAAAATAGCCAACCTTGTCACTGGGCAAGAGACATGAACAGAACCTTCTCTGAGGACAACAGACAAATGGCTAACAGACATATGAAAAAAAATGCTCATTGTCCCTGATCATCAGAGAAATGCAAATCAAAACCACCCTGCGATATCACCTAACCCCAGTGAGAATGGCCCACATCACAAAGTCTCAAAGCTACAGATGCTGGCATAGATGTGGAGAGAAGGGAATACTTTTACACTGCTGGTGGTATTACAAACTAATGCAACCTTTTTGGAAGGAAGTATGGAGAATCCTTAGAGAACTCAAGTTAGACCTCCCATTTGATCCCACAATCCCTTTACTAGGCATCTACCCAGAAGAATAAAAAACACTTTATTTTGCACTGATTGTTTATCACAGCTCAATTTATAATTGCAAAGACTTAGAAACAACCTAAATGCCTATCAAGTCAGGAATGGATATGTATACAGTGGAATATATTTAGCCATAAAAAGATGGAGACTTTACATCTTTTGTGCTAACCTGGGTGGAATTGAAACACATTCTAAAGTCTCACAAGAATTGAAAAGCAAATATCCATTGTGTTCAATACTAATATGAAGCCAGAAGATGGACTAATAGATTCCTACATAAGAGAAAAACTCAATTCAATTCAAGTTGGGGGGAGGGAGGAATGAAGGGGAAGGAAGGAGAGGAGGGGATTGACATGCTCCCATTTAATGGGCACAATGTAAGGGTATATGGCATACCTTTTGGGTGCATTTGTTAGTTAGTACCCTTTAATTTTTGGGAAATTAAATTCCCCAGTGTATGGGAAAAATAAAAGGGTACTAACTAACAAATGCAAATATTTTCACCTACTTGTTTATACCCTCACATTAACCTGAAATTAAAAATAAAATAGCCAACCATTCCACCACCCATATGCATCATCCTGTTCCCTACATTATCCTTTGTATGAACTCATGTTTTTTACTGTTTTGTCCATTTGTCGTCACTAGAACATGAACTCCACAGGAGCTCATTGCCTTTTGTCTTGATGTTTATACTGCTGTACCTCCAGGAGTGAGAATAGTGCCTGGAACATAGTAGGCACTCAAATATTTGTTGTGTGAATCAATGAATATTATTTTAATATGCTAATAGTATATGTACCAGTTATTGTATCATTCAGTAAGCTGTTCCAATGAGTGGTTGCAGTCAATGTTGTATTACCTTTACATGACTAAAATCAAGTATTTAATTTTCTCTCTCTCTTTTTTTTTTTTGAATTCTTTAATGGCGTGCCTTCAATAGTAAAGAGAGGAAAATATGCTTAGGCTTATTATCTACTTACTGAGTACCAGTGAGTAATAAACATAATAAGAACTTATGTCTGCTTACTAGGTATTTTTGCAAGTAAATTGGCTTATGTTAACCCCATTTTTACAGAGTTGGATGCCAAATTTCAGGGGGAGCTTAGGTGGTTTGCCTTTAGTAGCTACCGAGTACGAGCAGTGATAATGATTCAAAGCCATATCTGTTCTATTACAGAGTTCAAAATCTCTAATTTTTTATTACATGTTGCTGAAAGATATTTGGAGTTATAAATGGTTGAAAGATAGTAAGAGGTAAAAGCAACTTACATTTTTTACAAAAAGGATACTTCATTGCTTTCTGTTGTAGATATGCCACTTGTGTTAGCCCTGTGGTTCTTCCATAGTACAATCAACTCCAAATATGGACAGGATGAATTTCCTAACATACTCTGTCAATAATTATAGCAGTGATTCTTATTAAGGGGGGAGGAGTGCAGAAGAGATAGAGCTGGGAAAGGTCCAGTCTCCTTAGGAACGCACAGAAAATGACCACCATTTCCACATGTTCTTCTAACTTACAGCTCTTATTTCTTCAGTGCCTTTTGCCAGGTTGAGAATGTTCCTCGTTTGGATCATTTTTTTAACTTGTTCTTTCAAAGAGCACTTCAGCCTGCTAACTTAGATTGCAGCAGCAGTCTCAGTGCTCAGCAGTATGACGCTTCCAGTGCGGTACTTTTAGACAACCTCCCTGGAGTTCGGTGGCTCACACTTCCAGCAGAAATCAAGGTAATCTTAGGGGTTAAAAATAAGAATCATAACCAGTTACCTTATTATAATCTTTTACTTTCTTTTTTTGGTGCTTTTTGTTATTATAGAGATTATGGGAAAAATTAAAGAGGCAATTGGTTGATGAAGGAGATCCAGTATGGTAAACTTAGAAAGACAAATTATTCTTCATAAATAGAAATTAGCTCCTTCTTACTTTAAATTTGATCTTTGTCCAAATTTAGACTACTTTTCAAGTGTATCTTTGCAATTTTGTGACTTTGATTTTATAACACAAGGTTTTCAAGTTTGCATTATGTTTTTGTATACATTGAAAGTGGATAAAATGATTAACTAACATTATTCTCAATTAAACTAGAAAGTTCACTAGTTTAGCAAAATCTTTTTACATGAAAATATGTGATTAGCTTTTGGCTTGTTGTGTAGATAGCTTACCAAAGCTAAGACTTCATGATGGTTAAGTATTATCAATTTGACTTAATTATAGCTGTCTACCCAGAATAACTTCACTATTAAATGACTGTCAAGATTATTTCTGCTATTTCAATCAATGTAGATCACCACATAATCTATTTAGCTATGACATTAAATGAGGCACTGTACCATAGTCACTTCCCTGTCCATAAGGAAACCCAGCACCATAGTGCCTATTAGGGCATAGTCATAATAGGCATAGTCTAATTCATTCCTAGTCTTACTCATCTTGAAACTCTACAATGTATGATCAAGTAAATGCCTTTTTGATAGTTTAATAATCATGTAAATTGATGTATCAATTGCTTTGAGAGGAAATAATCATATCTACTTCATAAAGGAGTTATGAGTAACTACATTTGAAGTGCTTAGAGTTATGTCTGGTGTATTGTAGTTGTGCAAGTATTACTATGTAATTATTATATGAAAGGGATTGAGGTATTATAGCATGTTTAAAGGAAACTTTACCTTCTGATATTTTTGTCCTTAGCTCTGTCAAGTGCCTGGTAATGCATCTTTTGATATCTCAGGTCAATAATTACCATTTTATTAAATCATATAAAAACTAAAAAAGTATGAAATAAATGCAGTAGAACCTCTATATTTGACCACCTCCTGAAGTTGACCTAATTTTCATACATCAGATATGTACCATATGTACTCAATGGAAGTTCCTTAGGTTGACCACCTTCATATGTTAACCAGTTTGTTACAGTCCTTTGGGTGGCCAACTTACAGAGGTTCTAATGCAATTCTACCTCATCAGTGTTCTCATAAGAAAATATAAATATTCAACATAGATAGAAAGTAACTAGATACTTTACCTTTAAAAGAAAAAGATCCTGGCTCCAAAACCTGTCTCATGCCCATTCTAGGGTGTTTTTCCTTGGACCCAGGACCACTTTTGTAGGTAAGAAAGTACCATGTCATGAGGCCTGCCATTCTGGCTGGCTGTTTCTAGGGTTATACTACCTCTTTCAGAATCTTCTCTCAAAAATACATAGTATTTTGTATGATGATAGTAGAATACTTAATGATATTAAAGATAGTGTCATTAGAATTTAGATACATTAACATTGAACATTATCCTCCCTCTCTGAAGTTCAAGACATTTTAAAATAAAGCCGCCTATTTTGATCTTATAAATTCCATGTGAAGGCTACTTCTTAATATTCATATTTCCTTATTGGCATTTTTCTAAATTTAGCATAAATTTCATTAAAAGTCTTATATGCTTTTCTTTATTTTACCCTAAAAGATATCAAACTAAGAAAATGCTATGTGAGTTCTGGGACAAATATTTTTAGTTTGTTGCCTAAAATCATAGGTGGTGATTATCCCACCAAAGCTTTGGTTGGTTTTATTCTTGTTAAGTGTAACACTACTATTTGGAGATCAGTCTTATTTTTGCTAGCTGCTGAGGTTTGTGCTGTGCTTTGAAGAATCCAGAAAAACCTCTAGAAGTTTATAATCAAGGTGACGAGGTGAAATTAATACAGGAAACAAGGGGTATATGACATAGATGTTTTCTATATTTTGTAGACTGGTGGAAAACAATGAAAAACAATGCTATGAAAAACAATATATTAATTTTTTTAATTGTTCAGGATTCATTGAGGGTATAAAGAATTAGGTTATACTATTGTGGTTGTTATGTAAAGTCCCTCTTATAATTGTGTCTGCCCCCCCAAGAGGTATGCCATATACCATGACCCCCTTCCTCCTCCCTCCTTCCCCTTCCTCTATCCCTCATTCCCCTACCCCACCTTATATTAGATCGTGTACTGCCTTCATAATAGAATTGAGTACGTTGGATTCTTCTCCATTCTCATGATACTATACTAAGAAGAATGTGTGCCACCTCCATCCAGGTTAATACAAAAGATGTAAAGTCTCCTTTTTTTTTTAATGGCTGGATAGTATTACATACCACAGCTTGTTAATCCAGTTCTGGGTTGGTATGGCCTCTGTAGGTTGGTTTTTCTCGTAATGTCTTTGTCTGATTTGGTATTAGGGTAATGCTGGCCTCACAGAATGAGTTAGTATTCCATTTGCTTGTATCTTCTGAAAGAGATTCTAGAAAATTGATATTATTTCTTCCTTAAATGTTAGGTAGAATTTACCAGTTACCCCATCTATGTCTGATCTTTGGGGGGAGATACAATGTTCTGGTTTTGCAAGTTTATTGATTATTGATTCAATTTCCTTTTTTTTCCCCCTTTTTAAAATTTCAGGTTAATATATGGATACAAATGATGAGGTTGCATTGGTGCATTTGTTAGGTAAAGTCCATGTTGTAGTTGAGTCCTTCACCCAGGAAGAATACCACGTTCTCCTCTTACTGATTCAGTTTTTTAAATAAACATAGGCCTATTTAGATTTTTCTTCTTGTGTGAATGTTGGCAGATTGTGTTTTTCAAGGAATTGGCCCATTCTAACTAGATTACCATCTTGTGATCATAGAAGTGCTCATAATATTCTTTTCTTATCCTTTTAACATCTGTGAAGTCTATTTTAAAGAGAGGACTCTTTAATTTCTGATAATCTGTGCCCTCTCTCTTCTTAGTTATCCTTGTTCTAGAGGATTATCAATTTTATTGATCCTTTTAAAGAACCAAATCTTGGTTTTATTGATTTTTCTCTATGGCTTTTTGTCAGTGTCATTGATTTCAGCTTTAATTTTTTTTTCTTCTTAGTTTAGATTTAATTTGGTCTTCTTTTTCTAACTTCCTAAGATATAAACTTAGATTATTGATTTTAGAGCTTTCTTTGTACTTGCTAATAAGTAAACTTAATGTTATATTCAGACAGTGTATTTCTAAATTCTAGCTTGAATAGTTACTGGTTATGCGAGTTCTTTTCTTTTCTTTTTTTTTTATTAAATCATAGCTATGAACATTAATGCATTTATGGAGAACAATATGCTGGTTTTACATAGAATTTGAAATACTTTCATCAAACTCATTAACATAGCCTTCACTGCACTTTCTTAATTATTGTGTTAAAGACATTTGTACTCTACACTTAGTTTCTTAACAGCTTTATTGAGATATAATTCACATACCATACAATTTACCCATTTAAAATGTATAATCCAATGATTTTCAGTATGTTCACAGAGCTATCCAACCATCATCACAATCATTTTTAGAACATTTTCATCATTCAAAAAAGAAATTCCTGGGCGGCACCTGTGGCTCAAAGGAGTAGGGCGCCAACCCCATATGCCGGAGGTGGCAGGTTCAAACCCAGCCCTGGCCAAAAACTGCAAAAAAACTAAATAAATAAAAGAAATTTCACAACCATTTGTAGTTACTCCCCATTTCTCTCCTCGCTTCTCTCCTCTCCTGCCCACTCCCAGCCTCAGGCAGTCTCATGCCTAGTTTTTGTTCCTATTCTGAATGATTTTTTTAAAATTTTTTACTTCTGTTATCTGAGTAAGATGACTTGACCAACATCTCCCCATCTACCCTCTCCTGTAACCACCCAAGCCTTTGGTAACCAGCGTTCTACTCTCTCCTTTGAGATCCAAGCATATATGGATTCCTTATGTGAGTGAGTTCATGTAGTATTTATCTTTATGTGACTGGCTTATTTCACTTAAAATAATGTTTCTAAGTTCATCCATGCTGTCACAACTAACAGGATTTCATTCTTTTTTATTGCTCTGTGGTATTCCATTGTGTGTACATACTACATTTTCTTTATCTACTCATCTGTTGTTGGGCACTTCCATTGATTTCATATCTTGACTATTGGGATAGTGCTACAGTAAACTTGGAAGCGCAAATTCTTTTTGACATATTGATTTTAGATCCTTTGGACCCCCAGGAGTGGGATTGCTAGATAACATACTAGTTGTATTTTTAATATTTGAGGAACTGGCATACAGCTTTCCATAGTGGTTGTACTAATTTACATTCCCACCAGCAGTGTTTAAGAGTTCCACATCTTTGCCAAAACTCGTTATCTTTTGTCGTTTTGGTATTATTATCTTTTAAGCAATATCTCATTGTGATTTTGATTTGCATTTCCCAGATGATTAGTGATGTTGAACATTTTTTCATATACCTGTTGGCCCTTTGTATGTCTTCTTTTGAGAAATGTCTGTTCCAGGGTTTTGACTATTTTTGAAAGGTATTTCTCTTCTCCCATATGAAAGGATAGAGTGTATTTCTTCCCCCACATAGCAGGATATTACTAACTGGTGTTGGGTATTTTCCTTCCCCAATGTCAGTTATGGTCTAATATTATTGCCCCAGCAGGTTAAGTTATAGTTAACAAGTTTGTGCTGAGGGCAGGTCTTGTTGAGAAAAATAGAGGTCTCTGATATATTTCAACATGGTTCCTTTTCCTTCCCCACCTGCCGGAAGCATGAGGAGATTTTTCCCTAATATTTACTCTGACAATTTGGTTGAACTGCTAGTGGTAAAACTCACAAAAGTGTTGGGGTCCTTGAAGACTGAGTTTTCCTGGATTTTTAACTCTCAGACTGTCCACATAGAGCCTCCAGCAATTCATCAATTACAGCTCACTTTTTCTGTCCCAACTCTGCTCAGGAGTTTCTTTTCTGGTAAGATTTCCTATATTTATCTGTTTATCTGTCTATCTTGATTGAGTTATTGATTTTTTAGTCTGTTCAACTTTTTATTTGGTAGGACAGAGTAATGACTTAAAATTTTTTACACATGGAACCAGAAACCAAAATCCCCAGTTTTTGTTTTGCCATCAACCTTAAAGAATTTAAACATACTTTCTCTTTCTCTTTGAGATTTCTTACTATATTAAAAATAGTAGGACTTACTGACTATATATTTCTTGATAGAAAATATTAAGGAATTTAATGCCTTAAGACATCTAATTAAAAACATATGTGCATAAGGTACATTGTGCCTGGCAAATTTTAAATGGAAATCATTATTTTTAACTTAGAAAAAATGTATTTGTTCTGAGTTTAGTACATGATGAAGTCTGACTTCAGTTTTTTCTAGAGGTGTTTGAGAATTTCCTTATTTTGTTTGTCAGATGTTCTTCTCTTCCTAGGGCACACTGGAATAATTAAGAGAAAAGATATTTTACAGTTTCTCTTAAGGAATATGAGGAAACAGTTATAGTAATGTTGTATGTTAGAGTTCAGTTAGCAGGAACAGCAACTCATTAAACAGTTTCTGAGATCAAAAATCACACTGGTAATTTTCTCTATCCTATAGTTTTTCACAAGACACACCATAGCCGCAAACAGTGGAACGTGAAATATTTGCTAGGTGCACAAAAATGTAGGTCACAAGTGAGTAATAAGTCATACTGTGTGAAAAGCATTAAAAGGCATGACTAATGTTTCAAAAGCTTTTGTTATCTCAGTAAGACAGCTTATGTGTGAAACAGTCCTGCAGAGAGTGCTTTGGCCTGTAAGAAAGAAATAAAGAAGATTCTTATTCATATATAGTGCTATGAACTTCAATTGCCAGTAGTTTTTAATTTATAGATATGCATTACATATTAAGTTGCAATTACATTTACTCTGTTTTTAAATTTTGAATGTTTCAGGGCAGAACAAAGGTAATACATGAAAGAGTTCAGGCAGTTTCCCTAGAAACAAAAGCCAAATCCTAAGTAAGAGATTTTTTTCTAATAACTGTGGGGTAGTTTAACTGTGCCAGATTCCAGGGGAACGCTTGCCTTCATGTTTTAATCTAAGAATAAAGGTTGACAACCCTTTTGTATAAAAACATTGTGTCTAAGAGAGAGACAGGGAAGAATGTTGGCATTTTCTAAAACTCCAGCTGTTGAGAAATACATAGAAAATGGAAAATGAGAATAGCTCAAAGTAGGTTGGCTACATCAAGATTGATATTCATTTTTCTCTAAGAAATCTAATGAGTTGATTTAATGGGTTAAGTTAATTTCCAACTTAAAACTGGAAAGCACCTTTTTTCCTTCATAAATTGTTTTCCATTGAATATAGGGTGAAGACTATTTTGCAGTAATTAAGATTTAGTTGAAGTATACCTGTATGTTAAATAAATAAATTTTTGTAATTTTAGAACTTGAAAGCAAAATGTTCCATTTTGAGATATTTCTGAAGTAACACAAAGGAGAAAGATACTCAATTTTTTAAGTAATCATTAGGCAACTTTTTATGTGTCCATTACTAAAATCATAACTAATGAGCTAAATGTTTATGTTACTTTTTTTTTACATAGGTGGAATTAGACACAACATTAAGTGACTTGGAGGCTGCAGATTTTGCAGAACTGGTAAGACAAGGGATGGATTTTAGTAAAGGATCAATGTTGAATTCTTATTTTGTATATCAATCAAGTTATTCTAAATATTTACCAATAGCTCAAATGTTTATAGCAGCATGGTTCACAATTGCAAAGATGTGAAAACAACCATAGTGCCCACCAATACACAAATGGATTAATATAATATGGTATATGCATACTGTGGTATGCTATTTAGCCATAAAAAACATTGCTGATGTAGTATCTTTTGTGACAACATGGATGAAACTGGAAACCATTCTTCTAAGTGAAACATCACAAGAATTGAGAAACAAACACATCTACTCAATACCAAATTACACCTGATCATCACTTCAATGTACACAAGGAAGTAAATCTCTATGAAAATCAAGCTGGGAAGGCGGGATAGGGGAATGGGTAAATTCAAACCTATTGCGTATAATGCACACTATCTGAATGAAGGGAACACTTATAACTTTGACTCAATCTGTACAAAAACAATGTATGTAAACAAAACATGTGCACCCCTTAAAATTCTGAAATTTACAAAAAAGGGAGTTAATGGCAAAAAGTAGATGAGTAACAACAACAAAAATTTACCAAGTGGATGTATGAGAATCTTGAAACATGCAACATTAGGCCTGTGTCAGTTGCAACACTGACACAATCTATCTTGCTTCCCTTAAGATTTTCTACTTAGTTGAAATATTTGTTATACAACATATATTATAGGATTACAAAATGATTAATTGCAATTATATCATTGAGAATTAGACTTACTGAAGAAAGAAACTATAGATGTAATATTGATTAAATAAGAAACCCTGTAGGTCTGAATTTAAATTGAAAGTATCAGTATGGTTTTTAATCTTTTCAAAAATTGTATTTCCTAGCTCTGCCCAATGAAAAGCCTACAAATAGTGACTATCCCAGTGGTGATAAGTACCACTAACACACAGGCCATCATGTTTAAAGACATTCCTCACCAGAAGGAATCAAGAAACAGCTCATTCCAGATTTGGGGCTGAAAATGTACCAGATAAGTCTTAGAACATCTTGTCATTTCAGAAATCCAAAAGCTTTCAAAAATTATTAGCATTATAACAGAGATCAAAGTGTCAGGAGGCAACTTGAAAAAGGTCTCTTTTGAGCATCTATAAGAATAATAACTATAACAGATTGAAACAGATCAGGTATATTTAAATCCATGAGTTCATAATAATACTATGGAAAAAAAGGAAACTTACTGGTCACCTTGGAGAATGCTAGGGAACCAACTCATTTTTGTCAAAACTGGTAAATGAGAAAGAATCAAACATTTATCCTGCTTTTCCTGTCTGAACTTTGTATCAGGGTTACCAGACAGAGATGAGGGAGTTTCTCTTTATGGAAATAGTCTGCCTGACATATTAACATGGCACAGTTGGAATATTACCATTTTGCAGTTCCTCCATGAATTGATGGATCTTGGCAATGTCATCAGTAACTGTTAATATCACAAGAAAAGTAGCCAGATAGTTTATGGTTGCTGATAGAAGCATATAAACCACCTATGCAAAATGTTTGATGAGGCCTCAAGATCTAACTACAAGTTTTTGGAAAATGCCATCAAAAAAGGGCATTTTAAATAACCTCATTTGGGGAAAAGGAGCTGCAATCAGCAAAATTCAGACTGGGCAACACAGTTTCTTAAATAAATTAGAAAAGGGGATCAGGGTGGTAGGACAGGGAAAAGGAAGAGAAGTTGAGAGAGAACCTATCAGTTACAAGAGATGTAGCATATCACCCAGTACAATATATGGCCTTTCTTGGATCCTGATTCAACAAACTTTTAGAAAACATCCATGAGAAAATCAAGGAAATGTAAACACTAATGCCTGGATATTAGGTGAGAATAATTTTTTAGCTGTAATTAAAGGCAATCTATAAGTAATGGTATTATGAGATTTTTATTTTTGTGTGTATTATCTTTATCTTTTTTCTTTTTTTTTTTTCAAAATAATATGAGGCTACAAATTTTTAGGTTACATTGTTCTCACTTCCAAGGTAAAGTTCAAGTTGTAGTTGAGCCCTTCACCCAGGGAGCGTGCTGAACACCCTCACATTGTGCACATTAGGTGAGATCATGACAACTGTCTTCCGTTCTCCCACCAGTTGCCTTCCCTCCTCCCAACAATTGCCTTCCCCACTGTCCCTTACCCCCACCTCTCTCCCTTTTCTCCCCTCCCTCTTGCTAGACTATTTTGTGTTTTATCATTCATTTGGACATATAATTGTTTACAAATTGGTTTCATATCAGTATTGAGTACATTGCATTTTTTTTCCATTCTTAAGATTACTAAGAAGAATAGTTATTATGAATCTTTTTTTAAGATTTCTACTGTTTTAGAGATACATTCTGAAGTATTTACAGAGGAGATGATACAGTGTCTAAGACTGGTTTTGAAATAATTCAACAGGTTTGGAGGAAGGACAGAGGCACATACATGAAACAAGATGAGCCATGTACTGGTCATAGTTAAAGCTGCCTAATTATGGGCACATGGGAGCTACTTACACCATTCTCATTTTGTATATGCTAAAATTTTCCTTGATAAAAGTTCTTTTAAAATGTAAATGGAAAGTGGGAAGTGGAAGACATGAAGGCTAGATCATTTTCAGAAGTTTGCTGGACAGTGTGGAGACTAAGATCCTGAGCAAATGTAAGGGTGTTTTGTGTGTAAAAATAATAGAAATTTAAGCATAGTGAATTCTTCATAGGTCACAATTTTTTCTCTGATGAAGACTATGTAAATGGATATTAATCATCAGGAGAATTTGGATCTAAAATATTAAAATATCTGATTTTTGGAACTTACAGATAATAGGTTTAATTAAAAATCTAATTCCTGTCTTTATAGAACATAACTTTAATGAACAGTGGAGGTAACAATATTTTCTATGTTAAAAGAGGATCAATTAATGTTCCTTAGATAGAATATTAAAAACACAATCCTTAAAAGAAAAAAAAATTGATAAATTGAGAATGTAAAATGGTACAGCTTCTTTGGAAAACAGCTTAACATTATCTTAATAGCCTAAACATACACCTACCGTATGATTCAGCCATTCTATACCTATCTAGATACCCAAGAGAAACTAAAGTATGTGTAATACAAAGACCTGTATAGAAAGCAGCTTTATTTATAATAGCCAAAACCTAGGAACAACTCAAATAACTTAAGTATCCATCAACAGGTACGTAGCCAAATTGTGCATATCTAGGCAATGGGATACATTTATTGAGAGAATTGATGTGTGGTAGAATTCTATTCATCTTATTTTGTGAAAGTCTGTTGTGTAGTTTTATCCTTTGCACCATTGTGGAAGCTAAGTTTTGACATTAGTTTTTGTGTGTTTACTTTTGCTGGTGGTCCATTGTGATGGTCATTGTTGAGAATAGGTCTAAGTATTTCCAGTAGAGCTGGTCTTGTGGCAGATTTCCTCAGTGTTTGAATATCCACAAAAAGATTTGATTTCTCCATCAATTTTGTAGCTTAGTTTAGCCAGATACAGAATTCTGGGCTGAAAATTGTTTTGTTTAAGAATGTTGAATGATGGTCATCTGTTGGCTAGGAAAGTTTCAGTTGAAAAGTTTGCTGTCGTCCTAATGGCTCTGCCCTGTAGGTCAGATGGTGCTTACTCCTGGCTGCTTGCAGAATTTTCTTTTTTGTCTTGAACTTTGGACAGATTCATTGCAATGTGTCCTGGAGAAGCTCTGTTTGAGTTGAGATGACCCAGGGTTAGATATCATCTAAAAAGAGTGTGTTGAGATCTTTAGGAAAACTTGGGAAGTTTTCATTTATGACAGTCTCCAGTAGGGCTTCCATTCCTTTGGGACAATCTTCTTCCCCTTTAGGAGTCCCTATTATTCTTATGTTTGAATGCTTCATCAAATCTCATAGTTTTCTAAGCAACTTTCTGTTTTCTCTGACTTTTTTCTGCCTCTTTAAATACCTGGGTTAGCTTGAAAAATTTATCTTCTAGCTCTGAGGTTTTTTCTTCTCGATGGTCTAATCTATTTTTGATACTTTCTACTCTATCTTCACATTTCCTGATTGTCTTCTCATTTCCTTAACCTCTGCCATATTCTTTTTATATTCTATATATCTGTCATCCATCTTTTGGTTCTGTCTTTCTATTTTCTCATCCATCCTCTTCATTGTCTAAATCATCCATATTTTAAATTCCTTTTCTGTCAAGTCCATTAATTCTTTATAGGAAGAGTCTTCCATAAAAGATGCCTCATGGTACCTTGGAGGAGTTGCTCTATTTTGTTTTTTCAGGTTGCCCAAATTTTTCTGTTGTCCCTTCTCATGTGTGCTTTCTTTTTTTTTTT